TATCTATAAAGAGATTAATCAATTTTTTAAATATATTTTATTTTGAAAGTTGTATTATTAATATATATATATATATATATATATATATATATATATATATATATATATATATATATATATATATATATATATATATATATATATATATATATATATATATATATATATATATATATATATATAAATATATGTATATATATATATATATATACATATATATATATATATATATATATATATATATATATATATATATATATATATATATATATATATATATATATATATATACTTCTAAAATATATACTTTTGAAATATTTTAATTCATTGAAAGAATTTTTTGCTGTAACTTTAAAGAAACTGTTATTGTTTCGGTAACTTTAATAAAATAATTTTAATCGACTTTTTTGGTCAAATACTCCAGTGTGCAGCGTTTGACAGCGTGACAAGTACAGTTTTGCTTTCTTTTTTCCGTTGGAGATATTAATGAAAAGCTTCAGTATGCACGGGGTTGATGAACAAATAGCCGTTTTTATCATAAATATCATCTTTTAAAAATCTGCTTTTTTTATTTACCGTAATCTGAAGATTTGGCCCATTTTGCATCTGAACCTTAACTTTGTATTGAATCAATTAAAACATAAATAATTAGGTACAAAGAACATAAATTTAAAAAAATAAAGTAGTTAAACAAAATTTAGTGACAAAGTTTATCTACTTTGAAAAAGCTCATAAACTTTGTCACTAAATTTTGTAAGAAAGTTTCATTATCAATGAAATTGACAATGTAAACTTTCGTACAAAATTTACAAAAATAAAGTTTTAAAATAAGATATATTGACAAAGTTCTGGAACTGAATAAATTCTCTTTTTTGAAGTTTTTTTGGTTATTTGATAAATCTTTTATTATTTAAAAAAGGGGGGAAAAAGTTGCTGAGCTAGTAGTGACCACTTAAGTCTTTTTTTTTCTGCTCCATTTTTTTTCTTCGTTTTTTCAATTGAATAATAATTTTTTTTAAGTAATTTAGTACAATAATATTAGTTGCAATAATTATAAAAACTACAATGGTTAAACCAAATGTAAACTTAATAAATGTCCACTGCACAGGCTGTTTATTTAAGTTATATTCTGGAAAATGTCCAGAATATAACTCTTCATCACATTGAACAATTGCATGAAAGTACATAAAATATAACTCTCCATCGCATTGAACAATTGCATGAAAGTACATAAAATATAACTCTCCATCGCATTGAACAATTGCATGAAATTACATAAAATATAACTCTCCATCGCATTGAACAATTGCATGAAATTACATAAAATATAACTCTCCATCGCATTGAACAATTGCATGAAATTACATAAAATCACAAGCTGTTGTAAGTTTTTTTTACTTGATTCTGAACGATAAAGAGATTCTGAATGACTTTCCATGTCAAAACTTACTTCAGAAAAAAAATAGATTTGAAATATTTGTAGTTACAGTATTAGTACTTGGGCCAGAAAAATTAACGTTGTAAGCCTCAAATGTGTCTATAATACTGCCAGAGGTATCTAAATTATTTGCATTTATGCTATTATTTTTGTTTATTACATAGGAAGAGATATCCCCTGAATATAAGGTTTTGTCTGGAACAGTAAACTTTAGGTTACTTCTGTTTTTTAGGACCATCTGAATAATCACCCAGTGACATACTTAAATTATCTTAAAATGACTGGTGATGACTTGAAATGATGAAATCAGTACTTGAATCAAAACCTATATTACATCTTATGCGGTAGTGGTGTAGTGATAGAGCGCTCGCATCATAAACGAGTGGTTCGGAGTTCGATCCTCACCACGTCCCTGGTAGTACCGCGCTCAACTCGTTTCTCCGCGCAGCGGCCTTGTTCATCAAGGTTCGTGTTTCGGAGTTATAGAGTTGAGAGAAGGTTATAGCCACAAATAAGTAGCCTCCTCGTCTGTAGTGGCCTCCTCGGCCTTGAGGAGGTGAATTAAAATAAAAAAAAAAAAAAAAAAATATTACAACACAATAATCGCTCTTGAAACTTGTCTAATGAAAAAATGAAAAAACTAGTTCTAATGTTATCACTCATTTTTATTTAAATCGGTAATTAAACATTCCTAAAATCTTATTGACTTTTAGAAAGAGAAGAATCTTGCTTTTCTTTTCCTTTCTTGTTCTATTCATATAATATAATTAGAACAAGAAATATGTGCCAGTTTGAACCAAAAGTAAGCAACATCTAATGGTCATGTGAGATACATTGAGTTATGTTGGTAATACCACACATCCTATGCTGTTGCTAAAACATGCACTCAATACTGCATATACACCCCTCCCTAGAGCGTGGCGTAATTTATAGTTGTCGCGACAACTATAATTTATATCATAATAAACTATAATAATAATAGCCTAGCATAATTTATGGACAATTGTCCATAAATTATGCTAGGCTCTAAAGAAGGGGGGGGGGTGAGAAATAGAGAATGGTTTTGTGACTGATTGTACCAGACTGGTTACTAATGCGATGTTTTGATGAAGTAAAGGGCGGGGTGAGAGTTAAAATTAGTCAAAAAATGCTGATGTAATTTATGGTCGAGCCCTTATTCTCAATAACCATTTATTGCATTGTCGATTTGTTCTAAAGTTTAAGTAACATTTTCATGTCAAATTTTGAGTGATTGAGAACACTTTCAATCAGCTTTTGAGTCCTACCAAAGTGCTTTTTACATGTCACAATGACTCTTTTGAGTCCTACCAAAGTGCTATTTACATGTCACAATGACTTGAGTCAAGTTAGCTTAACTAAACTAGATAACTAGTAAGTTTTCTGTGATTTCTCACAAAATTTCAACTCGGATGCGTTACAGTAATTAATACAAACCATTTTGTTTTTTCGTTTAATACAAACAAAAAAAATAGTCCAAACAAAAAAGATTTCTCTTGAGACTGAAGTTAAATTTTGGACCAAAGTCACTTCAGCTTATGATAAAGAAATATTATTAGAAATATCTCAAGATGCTCTTAATAAGCAACAAATAATTGAAAAATGAGCAAAATTATGAAGTTGTAAAACTTGATGCCAAAAAAAAATTGAAACAATGAAAAAGTTGTTTGTGACAATAACAATCAGTGTTTATTCAAACAAATCAAGCTGAAAAATTAAAAATTTTGTCACAAATAGGTAAATTAGCTTGAATTGTTTTAAAAGAATTCCATACTATGATAGGTCCATGAAAACGTAACAAACGTAAGTGCATGAAAAACAAGCCTATAAAAATATGCTCTTATGAGAAATTTTTTAAACATTACAAGGGCACACATGTAGTATATCTTAAACTTTAAATTAGTAACTACTTTTTTTTATTCATTTATTTAACCATTAAGTTGAAATAATTGCAAAGTGAATTGAATCAAGAAGTTGAAATAATCACAAAACTAGGTTCGGTGTCACTCATATAATTAAAAACTAGTCAATGAAGTGACACCTTAATAAAAGAAACAAATAAAGCAAAAAAAAAAGTAATATAGATAGTGACCAAAATAAAATTAATCAAAATAAAAAGAAGAAAAAAAAATGTTTAAAAAGGCAAGGCAAATAACACAAAAAAGGGCAAAAGTGAATAAAATGACATAATAGATAACGAATGAATGAGATAACACAACGTTTGACGATCAGAAAGATAATGAAAATAATGAAGAAAATAAAAAAAATAAAATAAAATGATATTTTTAAAATTTATGAGACAAAAAATAAGAAATAACATAAATAATAACAACAAACATAAAAAGCAACAATAATTAAAATAATTAGTAACAAGACCACAAAAAAAATGCACGTCAACATAAACAATACACAAGTGTACACGTCAATATAAACAATGCACAAAATTACATAACAAAGTAAACAAAACATTGGAATATATGACAATATACAAAATACACAAAAACACACGACATTATAAACAATACACAAAAATACACGACAGTATAAACAATCCATACAACATAAATTAATAAAACTTAAAAAATGTATCTTTTATATCTAACTTGAAGTTTTTTATTTTCAAATTTATCACGGACATTTTTGTTCTTTTAACTTTGCGTTTTCTTCTTCTGTTTATTCAATGTTTTTCTTCACTTTTTAATATTTAATATTTTAATTATTTTCACTTTATTTCTTTTATTTTTTAAATTATCTATTCTAAACAATTTTGTAGTTGTTTTTCTTTTGCTCTTTTATCTATTTTTCACCTTTTCTTTTATCATTGTTGATTGATTAAATTTCTTTCATGATTATATTCCTTTCAAACTTTAAAAAAAATCAAACAATCTGTTTTTTTATTGCCAATATGAAGAAAAACTATTTCAAGTTTTGGCAATGTTAAAACCCATTATATTTCAATACCTTTATTCCTATGTGCAAGTTGCTGTATTTACTTTATTTACAGTGGTATATTTACCTGTTAGTCATTGATTTTCTTCTAAATAGAAATATAAAAAAAAAAGAAAAATGGAATTTTATTTGAAGGAATTTTTATAAAAATTTGAAAAAATTGTAATTAAACTTTAATATTGAATTCAATTAAACAATTTGATTAGTTAAAGTAAAAAATTATTTTAGATAGTTAAACAGGGTCAATAACATGGGTTTTGAAGTAGGGGCGGGGGAACCAATTGTTGATTTCAAAAAAATATCCTCTATATCTTGAAATTTTTAAAATAAACAATTAAATAAGGTTTTCTAGAAAAAAAGTGGGGGGCCTGTGCGCCATGCTCCTCCTCTCCTTAGTAATGTGGGATATGTTAAACTAGTTTTTAAAACTTTTTAAAAGTATGGCAATAGTTTGTATTTATAGTATAATTTTTTAAATTGTCAAAAAAAAAAAAAAAAAAAAAATTAAATGAGAGTACTTTCTTTAAAATTTCAGAATTAAAATTTTATATGTCTAATATTCTTTTTTTATGTATGGTTATATTTTAATTTATAGATGTAAACATTCCAGGAGAATATGGTGCTACTCCATTACATTTTGCAGCTCGATATATTGAAAAAAATGATTTTAAACAAATAAATAGTGAAATTCAAGAACATGCATCATCTGCACTGGCAGACATAAATGATTTTACTCACAGTAATGTATCAGATCATAAAGTTAAATCTCATGATCCCCAGAAACCAAACAGTTTCTTATTTTCTAAAAATCAGAATCATCTGGATCGTAAGCTTCACCTAATTAAAAATGAAAGAAAACAAGCTGATTGCATCGAAAGTAATTTAGCCAAAAAATTTGCTTCTTCACCTTCGATGACGCCTGTGTTAATGTCACCTTCAATGAAACATTTATTAATGACTTCTTCGATGACACCTTTAATAACAACTTCTTCTATGACACCTTCAATAGTGACTCCTTCAATGACACCCTCAATAATGACTCCTTCAATGACACCTCCATTGAAACGTGCATCAACACCCTCAAAAATAAACTGGAAAAGTTTAGATCATCTGGATTTACCAAATGCACAGTATTTAAATTCATCAAAAGTCAGTGAATTAAATCAAAATTACAGCGGAAACCCAGTTCGAACTTCTTCTGATCTTTCTGAGTATGTTAAAGAAAAGTTTGGTAAAATCAAGACACCATTTAATAAAAGAAAAAGAAGGCAAGACACAAAAGATAGTTCCATATTAAAGTATCTATTAGAACAGCAGGTAAATGTTAATGCTAAAGATATGAATGGTTCTACCCCTCTTCATTATGCTGCTATGAGAGGAAACGCAATAGCTGCTGAGATGCTTCTTTTGCAAAAAAACATAAATATTGAGGTAATTTGTACTATAGTTTTGGTGGTTTAATAATAAATTATTTTTTAAAAAGGAAAAAATACACTTTAAAAAGAAAATTTGTTTTTAAAAGTATAAACTAACATCAAAAATTTTTCTCAATATTTTCTCAATATTTAAACATTGTAATCAGGGATGCGAATTCCCAAAAAGGACTCCAAATTTAAATGTAACAAAAATGTTATTTCTTCCTAGTTTTTAGTATCCAGAAGCTCTAAAATTATAAAAAAAATAATGGACTTATAATAGGAGAAAAAATTATTATTTATAGGTAAGAGGAAGAATTATTTTTTGAACTCGGAGTCCTTAGGTATAATGACGGCAAGGACTCCAGGACTCTGGGCTTAAAAACAGTAAGTTCCAAGTCATTAAATCTCGTGAATTTTTTTTTCAGATCATAAGTCAACAAACATGTTTAGAGCTTCTGGACACTTCAGACCTGAAAAAAATAGGGCTATTAGGCTGGAGTCCTTTTGAGACTCCACATCCCTGTGTAATAATGTTCTATAACTTTTTAATTGTAAAAACTACAAATAATTTTAGCTTTCGACCAAATATTTTAATATTAAAAAAATGACTATAAACACTATTTTTTGAAACTTTTGATCAAATCAAACTTTTAATTATTTTATTTTTATAAACTTTTTTCAAGTTTAAAGCAAATAAACAAGCTTCAAACTTTCAACACATGTTGCGTTCATATTGAAGAAAATGATTTAAACAAAAAAATTGTTTGAGCAAAATTTTTTTTTATAACATATGTATACCAAGTATAAAAGTTTAGGTAGAATTTTGTTTTGTCATTTTAGTATTATCCCAAAGTCTTCAAAATATACTTACTTATACAGACCATAATGACTCTGAAACATGTTTAAATTCTTTAAATAATTATTTTTAAATATTTTTAATTAAATTCTTAATTTTTAGGTTTGTAGATACTTATTATTTATGTGTTTATAAAAATTTTTATGACTTTTTTTTTCTCTTCAAGTTTTTGTATAATTTATTTTTGATGTTTTATTTTCTGTTAGTTATTTTTCTTTCAATTAAATCAACATAATTATTAATATTTTTCAAAGAAAAAATTTAACAATTATTCAAATAACTACTGTTGTTATCAAAATTATTTATCAATAAAATAAAAACTCCATAAAAATCTTGCTTTTGTTCTGCAGTCTCTAGTCCATAAAATAAGACATTGTCTTTCATAACATTCTGCAAAATATACAATGCCGAAATAAATCTCAGGTTAGATAAATAAAAATCACAAAAATCTCAGGGTTAATAAATAACCCTTTAAATATATTAAATTTTTTTCTAAACATATTAAACAGTATTGTATTTTTTACAATTTTATAGTTTCTTATAAAAAACAATTTTATAATTATATAAAACAATTATAAGTAATTAAACCTTAAAACCAAAATTATTACAATTATATTATTTTTACTTTTTTTATAAAATTTTTTTAAAAAGATTTAGTGAAAAGTATAACAAAAACTTTTTTCTTGCTGTTTGTAGTTAAAAAAAATAAAAATATTTTGATGTATTTTTTTAATAAAAGTAGAAAGAAGTATCCTCAATTCAATTATATTTTTTTATTCTGTTGATTATCTAAGGATATAACTTTACAAATAGATTAATTAGGCATAATAAATAAGCCTATCAACCTTTTGTTTGTTTGTATCTACTAATGTCAGTCTAATCGTTTATATGTACTTTTGATGTTCACAATAGGCATCTAGATGTGTTTTGATGTTCCCAATATGCACCTAGATATGTACATTTGATGTTCCCAATATGTATCTAGATGTTTTTTAAACTCTGCAACAGGTATTGAACATACTATTTCAGATGGTAGACTATTCCAAAAATTGTGACTCGCAAACATTGTGAAACATTGTGAATGCAAACATTGTGAAATTATTTCTCTATTAAACTTTTCTACTGCTTGAGGCCTAGAACACAATACTCCCATAGTCTTACAAAAGTATACTTAAGAAGTTTCTCTAATACCCTCTAAACTATTTAACAAGAGCTTAACTGAATTTTTTTTTCCTTCTTGTTAGAATATGGCATCTGTGGTTCTTATTTTGAAAAGCTTTGGAGAACACTCTGACTGTAATTATTATCAAATCTCTCTTTTATTAGCAAGGTCTTTGAGACTTTAAATAACAAATTTCTAATAATAATAAATCTTATCTTGCGTCTAGCAACAAAGTTTTGAAATTATTCAATCATTCTTTTTAACTTTATATTAAAATTGTCCATAATGAACAACATTCTCCTTTGTTTGCAGAAACCATAAGGTTCTAACTAATCTTCCTATCTCAGTGTATTATAATATGCTTCTATAGAAAGAAAAAATAATCTTGGAAGATTAAATAAACATTTTAGATAAAAATCAAATTAATCAAAGTAATGACAAACAGTGTTTGCTGTATGCTGTCATTGATTTCTTCCGAGCCTCAGTCAGGTCAGGTCATCCTTTTATTAGCAACATGTAATACATTTTGACCTGTTTTGTATAAGACATGTGAGGTTTTTTAGCTGTGTTAAAGGAAACTTTCCGTCGGAGAACATAAAACATGCAATTTAACTGTGGCTAAAATAGGAGAAGCTCATAAACATTGTATGGTAATCTTATTAGTGATCACAATAAAAATAATAATAATATCTGAGCTGCAAAATAGGTTTGTTTCAGGAAGGAAGTCAGCTGTAAAAAAGAACAAAAATTCTTTCATATTAGCGTAAAAAAATGGAATTATAGAAACTTGTCCAAATCTAAGAATCTTTGGACTTTAAAGTTTAAAAAAAAATTTATTTAACTATACATAAATGATTTGCAGAGTTGCCGCCAATACCACAAGGATTGTTATAGGTCAAATAATATTTTTATGATGCATAAATTTTAATCATTCATTTTAACACATGAACCTTGACAAACAAGGTTGCTGTGCAGAGAAAAATGTTGAGTGAATTTATGAAGTGAGCACTTTGCCACTAAACCACTACCACATTATAATCTATAAACAATACCACATAATATACATATATAATTTTAAAAACAAATTGAAAAATAATAACTTATAAAAGTTGGCTGTATAGCTCAAGAATTGTATTGAAGATTATTATTTAAGGATATTTCTTTTTTCTAATTTTTAGTTTTTTCTTAAAAGTAACTGATTACAAAAAAATTTGAATATTTGTAAATTTACTAAATATTATTGAGTCAGAATTAAATATATCATTGCTTTGTTTTTGCTAGGCAATTGACCAATCAAAAATGACACCACTGCATTGCTCCTCAAGTGCTGGTTCTTATAATGTATGTCATCTGTTATTAGAGTATGGTGCAAAAATATTATGTCAAGATAAGGAGAACATGACTCCTTTACATTTTGCTGCTATGGAAGGACATTTAGGTATTGATAATTAATATGCAAATATGTAACTACAAATCAAAATAACACAGTCATCAAACTGCAATCTCAAATTTTAAAAATATTGTATCAAAAGATAATACTTTTTTAGTCAAACTTTAAACTGATTTTGACAGTCAAAAATGTATGCATTGTGTTACATAGAACCTATATAGTTAAATTTCATTGTGTAATATAAGATAAAAGTTTTATATATCAATAAATCATAAAAGTTTTACAAAGGAACTCTAACTGCATATATTTAATTTAATTTTTTAAACTATTTCTGTTTTTTTATTGGTTAGATATTTGTTTGAGATATTATTTGATGATGTCTCGACCAATCAAAATGAAGCAGAAATTGAAAAAAGCTTTTGAATGAAATTACTCAGAGAGCAGATTTTGAAAATTTAATATTATTTTGACTTGCTTTAGATGATTAAATTAAAAATTAAAAAAAAAAAGTTTACAATCCATTTAATAATCACACAATTTTGGTCATAATAGTTTATTTACCCTCCCATTATGAGTTTTTATGGCTTGTTTGACACCAAAAGTAATTTTACTTCATGCAATGCTGACCTTAAACATATATTTGTACTGTATATGTCTTGAAAATGCAATAAAGTATGACTGTGAATAATTGTATAAATGTATTGTTCAAGTAACATGTTTTTTTTTATGTTATGGCTAAGAAATGTTTTGAGGAACTTATTTTTGCAAATAGTTATTACACATGGATGGTATTGTGTTTATTAAAGGCTGGATTACACAGAAAAGTGTATAGTTAGTCTATCATTGATGTGGAAATTCTTCTTTTTTAACCCTATTGAAAACTAATAGGCTATTATTTAGAAGATAGCTCAATATGTCCAATTTTTAAAAATGGCTGCTGATAACTCCTGATTAATTTGTGTCCCAACAAAATAATGAAGTTTATTCACCATTTTTTATTTTTTGTAACTTTTGTTATATACTAATTTTTTTTTTAATGTTCATTACTATATTCTTCTAGAATGTAAAAGGGAAAAAAATCATCAAAAAAGATTAAACAGCTGGAATACAAAATTGAGAAGAAATTGAAATCTAAAATCTGCAAAAAATGGCTGTTTTTTTCTTTTAGTTTAACTTTTATTTGGAAAAAATAAAATCATCAAGAACTTCATTAGATGTTATAAATCATTAAAATGTACTAACAAAAAATACATGTCAAAAATACTGAAGAGAGTCTGCTGTAATAATATTAAATTTATTGATCATATATTTATCAGTTACCAAACAATAGTGAAAAACAATGTATGATATTTCTCTATTAAGCATAAATTACATGATATCCTACCAGGTTTAAACTATTCAATCTGGTCTAGAATTTTCAACATGAGGATAGGATTTAAGATTTTTTTTAATGATATGGGTTTTAATGATTAACACAATCTTCTCTTAAAATTCACTAGACTTTAGGGCACTAAATATATACAAAAAAATATACAATATTTTAGGTTTTACTGAATAGTAATTGAAAAAATTGCATTTTTCAATGATTTTTTAATTACATTTTTTTTTATAAAATTATTATTTTTGAAATTTGATATAATTTTCCTATTTAAGGGCATAGCTTTTTAAATTAGCTCAGTTTACTAAATTACTTCAAAATTATCTTAATTGATAGCCAACTTAAAAAACGTAGAAATATTATTATGTACTAATATTATAGGATGGTAATTGTTTCATTACATTTATTAATATTTAAATTTTTAAAACAACTAACCCAATTGATATTTTTGAAATACGTGTTAAGTTTTTCGTAGGTACCATTTTTAAAAATCTATTCACAATGAAGAGAACGAATTTCTAGGAGGGCTTAAAGATTCTACAGCGTAATTCCAAGTTCGACATAATTGAGAATGTCCTTTTTTGGTGTAGTTGTCTTTTAAGAGAAAAATAAGCATTGCGAAGATTTAGTTAATATAAGATCCAGAGTGCTAGTTTGGCCTAATATAGAGTTCAATTGAAAAGTATTAAAATCGACATATTGTGTTAAATATTTGGAATCAAATATCTCAATAAAGTCGTCAGCTAGCATGTTTGTGGTGGATGCAGTGTATTTATACCATGTGGTACTGTCAAGGTTATAGTCTACTGTGATTAGAAGGCCTGAGAAGTGTTTATTTTCCACTAATTTAGATGCAAAGTTTATAGAGGCTTTAATTTAATTATTTAAAAAGTCATTGCTGAGAGGTGGACGGTATATACAACCAACTAAAATTTTTTCAGTTCCAAACACCAAACTCGTTCAGAGTTAATTTTGTTAAGTTCAAAATGAGTTACTTCATGGTTTATTAGTGTGTCAGATATTCAAATGCAAACTCCAACATGAGGATTATTTTTTCAATCATATCTGTAAGTAATATAGTTTGTGAGATTAGAAATAGAGTTTTCATTAAACCATGTTTCTGTTATAAAGACAAGACTTGGTGGTGCTTTTGAAGTTTGAATAAGGCTTTGCAGCTTAGTAAGTTTCACCGAGTTTAAATAGTTGCATTTGTATAAAAACAACTAAAATTGTTCAGATATTTTGTTGTGTTTATTTTATTTTTAATAAACATTTTTATATTGCTATTGATTCTGTTATGGACTGATTTAAGTTTTAACATGTCTAGAATCATATGTTTCTTCCAAGAGTCAAGTCCCAAACTCCATCAAAGCATGTGACTCTACCACTAGGGATGGCAAAATGAAAGGGCTGATCTTTTTGCTGACTTTCAAGTTTTTCCATGTTGAGCCTGTTACATTCTATGTGTAGCAAATTTGTTTGCCTTTGTTGAGTAGGAGCTTCATCTGGGTTGATGTAGATACCATTTCGGGCATTGTTAAGTCTTAGTTTATGGGCAACTTTGAAAATCGCATTTCTTTCTTCTATTTTATTAAAAACTACTTGTAATGGACCTGCTTGAGCGGAGGTGAATTTGCCACCTTTGAAGTGTTTAATAGCAACATGTTTACATTCAACATGTTTAAATTCAATTATAATCAAAAAAATGAAAAAACATTTATTATTACAAACTTTAAACAGCATCTTATAAAGACTTTATTTTTCTATAATTAAAAAAAACAACTTCTTTTATGGATATAACCTTTTTGCTTTTAATTTAATTTTTTTGCTTGAATTTACACTTGAAGCAATATAGCTTTTGCAATGTCTTTGTTTATATTTATAAGTTTTATTTTACAAAAAATAATAGTTTCGAAAATTAATATTTTATATTAATTACATCAGCTTTATATAAATAACAGATTGTGTGATATCAAAAAAGTAAAAACAGTGCAATATCAAAAAAGTAAAAACAGAAATTTTCTTATAATTAAGAAAGAATTTTGATTAAAAAAGTTGTTTAAATTTAAAAAAGTTAGTTTTTTTGATTTCTCAATTTTTTTTCCTCCTTTTCTATTTTTTACAAAAAATTAAATTCCTTGTAAACATGTTATAACTAATAACACTGCATCAAAAATATTTGTAAAGCGTACAGTTAACTTTTTTGTCTTAAGACAAGTGAAGGCGCAATGGTATTTATTTTTTAATAAATGATACTTGGAAACTCAAATCTTTGTCACAAAAAAAAAAAATGCTGGTAAAGCTATTAACTTGAGTTTTTTTCTTTGCAACAAATAATACTTTTTGTTTATTTTTCAAACTAAAAGCTTTTTAAAACTAAAAAAAATTATTGTTTGCGAAGCCGCAATTTTAAGAAATAATGAAGAAGAAAAAACAAACATATTTTAATTTAGTTATACTAATGTTGAGAAAAGTAAGAAATTAGTTTATGTTAAATGGTAATAAAAAATGTATTAGTTAACTTAATTATTTAAACTTAAAAAAAAAGTTAAAACAAAATAGACATTCCACAATATGTACATTTACAAAATAACAATTCTACATTTGCTTTTTTTAATTAGTAAAAAACTTTTTAATTAAAATAAACTTATTTTGCTAATATATATATATATATATATATATATATATATATATATATATATATATATATATATATATATATATATATATATATATATATATATATTTATATATATATATATATATATATATATATATATATGTATATATATATATATATTTATATATATATATATATATATATATATATATATATATATATATATATTTATATATATATATATATATATTTATATTATTATATATATATATATATATATATATTTGGATCTTATATATGTATATATATATATATATATATATATATATATATATATATATATATATATATATATATATATATATATATATATATAAGATCCAAAAGTTTGGAAAATGGTTGCCTCATAAATTGACCTCATGATTGAAAGTCAGATGGAAAACCCAGAAAACATCTGAAATTTTGCTTCAAACACAAACAGAAATCATCAATGTTTTGCGCTAAATTGTTACTGGCAATAAAAAATGGATTTATTTAAAGAATCCCAAATGAATAAAATCATAGGAGGACAAAGTTGTCTGCAAAACTAAAGTGATTCAGAAAGAAAGCACTGCTCTGTGTTTGATGGTACCATGAGCTTCTAAAACCTGGTGAAACTGTTAATACTGATTTCTACAGACAACAAATGATCATTTTGAACCATGCATTAATTAAAAAATACCTGCACACAAAGCTAAACCTGTTCAGGATACAATTAAAGCACTTGGCTGGGAGCTGCTACCACACTGCTGTATTCATCCCCTTCTATTCTATACTCATCCCCTTCTACTGCAATTTTTTTCCATATATGGGGCACATATTGAATGAGCAGTACTTTGATTCTTACAAAGAAATCAAAAATTGGGTGTTTGATTTTTCAAAAGACAAACATTTCTATTGGTGTGGTATTGACAAATTGAAAGAAAGATCAATTTGTCAATACCACACTAGTATCTACTATAGCGTATAAAAATTAGCAATTGCTTATCCATTTTGTTTATCTTTATACCATTTAGCTTTTTCAGAAAAAGAAGAAAAAAATGAAGAATTATGAAGAAAAAGATTGCGTCATCCCAAACTCTCAGTCGGTGTAGCAGAACTCTTTTGCAGCATGCACTGAACCTCCAGGCAGCAGGCTATTTAAGTGTTACATCAGGCATCTAATATATCTAAACACATCTAATATATCTAAACGCGCATTTATACTAAATGACTAATGACAGGATTATTAGGAATCATTTATGTAAATTCTCCAAAAATATTACAGTTTGAGTCATTATTTGTTTTTGTTTCTTGGCGTCCAAAAATAAGGAGCTTCAAAAATGTTAAAGAATTTATGGACTATGCTGCAAAAAATTATTTGGGATTTAAAATAAGTATTTAAACATAAGGACTTCAGAGCTAAAACTTTTAGTTCCTAAATGTCCTGATTTTACCTTCTTATTGTTCATAAGTTCTCAACATTTTTGAACTCTTAAACACCAAAAACCATTATTAAGTAGTGATTCAAAATTTTTTCTTCTTTTGACTTCCTTTCCTGATTTCTTACAGCAAAAAAAAATGTTTTTCTTCCTCTTTTTTTTTGAAAAAGTATCCACATTAATGTTGGTATTTTAAAAATTAAGGCAAACATAATAAATTATTACTGTAACCACCTAAGCATTCAACCTTATATTTGGCTGTGCATGAAATTTCACAGTCACATATTAGGTCATGTTAGTACAGTGATGACTTGAATTATATTATTATGTATGTATTGAGAGATTAACATTTAAATTAATTTTTTTAAATAGATATTGCTAAGCTACTTTTTGAATATGCTGAAATTCAAGGCGGTACAACACTGAGGACCAAGTTAATTTTATCAGTAGACCGTGAAGAACAAAGTGCTCTCCATCTTGCAGTTGAAAACAATCATATTGATATTGTCAAATTTTGTATTGAGAAAGGCTTAAATGTGAATTCAACAAAGTCAAACATGATCTCTCCACTTCATTTAGCTTGCACTTCAGGGTTGTTAAATATTGCAAAGCTTCTTGTTGATAATGGTGCTGTTATTGATGCAAAGAACTCTTTACAAGAAACTCCATTGCATAGAGCAGCTTTATTTAATCGCACTGAAATCATTGATTTCTTGATGACCAAGTAAGTAATATTAAATTAAAATTTATTTATTCTCTCCTGTCAAATATATGCTTGAAAAAAATATTTAGAGGAGTATATGTTGATTGTTGTGATAAAGACAATGAAACACCATTACTTATGGCTGTACGTAAAAACAATGTTGAATCTGTTAAGTTGTTATTGAAATATCATGCAGACATAAATGTTAAAGATGCAAATGATAAAACATGCTTGTTTATTGCAGCAGAGGAAAATTCTAGAGAAGCTTTTGAGGTAATTAAATAACTATTTTTTCTTCAAAAAATCATGCTTACAAAAAAAAGTTAATTTATAAAACTTTTTTAATTTTGAAAAGTTCATCATGCAAACCAGTAAACTATAATGTAATATTTGAATTTGAATCAAAATAAGATTAATATATATATATATATATATATATATATATATATATATATATATATATATATATATATATATGTATATATATATAGGCCTCGGCGGGAAGTGAGAGCTTTAGCTCTCGCTTCCCACCGAAACGGTTTACGAGAGCTATTTACGGCTTTCGCAAAAGTATAATTTTTCTCATAAAAGTATAATTATCATTTTAGATAAAATAAAAAACACAATGTCATTTAAAAAAATTAATTGCATAATATACTGAAATGCTTTTTAAAAGGCACGGTTGTTGCAAATAAAAGTTAGAATTAAAAAAGAGCGCCGATTTAAATAAGGAACAGCTCGCACAGCTCCCCAAGTTCGTTTTAAGAGTTTTTTCCGCTCTATATATATATATAATATATATATATATATATATATATATATATATATATATATATATATATATATATATATATATATATATATATATATATATATATATATATATATATATATAATATATATATATATATAATATATATATATATATATATATATATATATATATATTAGTATATATATATATTAGTGTATATATATATATATATTTATATATTTATATATATATATATATATATATATATATATATATATATATATATATATATATATATATATATATATATATATATATATATATATATATATATATATATATATATATATATATATATATATAGATTTAGAGATATATAGATTTAGAGATATACTAGAGATTTATAATGGTTTAATAGGAATTACAGATTTGAAAACCTCATTGCATGTAGATTGACAATGCCTCATGCTTTTTTAGCTTTAAGCGTCTCAGTTGGCTTATAAATTATTACACAGAGTATAATACTATTTTGATGATATTCACAATTCTGTCATTGTTGCATATTTTGTTAAAAATGTTCCAAACGGGAAAGTGATGAAATAGCTGTAAACCCCTAAATTTGCTTATAACCTTGATCTTAAGTAATTTTTAAATTTCCTTATTTTAATATGAAACAATTTTAATAAAATGTTTTAATTTAAATATAAAATTGTGATTTTTAATCATGTTCTCATTAAATACATACTTTTTAAGACCCCCATTTCTGCTTAAATTTCTGATAAAATATATACATATTATGTACGTATCTATTACATACTACTATATACTTTTTTCCTTTGCAAACTTAACTTGTCATGAGTTCTGTGCTAACATGCACAAATGAGCATTTATAATAAGTTGCTCATTTACAATATTATATATATATATATATATATATATATATATATATATATATATATATATATATATATATATATATATATATATATATCTATATATATATATATATATATATCAGGAATTATCTTTTTGCAGATATTTCCGCAAATCCTGATATTTCTTATTTTTGCAGATATCCAAATAGTTTTTTGGAAATACAAGTTAAAAATTTTTTTTTTTCTAACTTTGTCATCAAATAATCAGTAAAGGTTTCATATATCAATTACTCTACGCTATATTTTTGCGTCCAAATAATGTTTATTCTTTTTTAACACATTAAATATACTTCGTTACACAAATTCCATTTATATTTCAGGATTTTTTCTGGATATTTCTTTAAAATATTTTTTGGATATTTTTAAAAAGAATTTCCAGATTTTTAAGATATGCCTGGATAATCCCTATTATAATATATATATATATATATATATATATATATATATATATATATATATATATATATATATATATATATATATATATATATATAAATATATATTGTTTGATGAAGTGTTGTGTTAAAATAATACAAAACTCTTTTTCATTGAAAAGTGCTAATATTTAGAAAATTTATTTTGATTATATATAAATTTCAAAACAGAAATTTAAAAATTTAAAATTAATTTCAATTAATTATTTAAGATTATCAGCAGCACCGTCAAATGAATCGATTTTTAAAAATAATATTCCTCCTTATCAAGAAGCCCTGAAAAAATCTGGGTACAATTGCAAACTTGCATACCATCCAAGTATAAAATCAACAAACGGCAAGATAATTTGGTATAATAAACACAAGATAATTTGGTATAATACTCCTTTCAGTGCAAATGTTGTAACAAAAATAGATAAATGTTTTTTGAACCTCATCGACCTCCACTTTCAAGTTAACCACAGACTTTGTAAAATATTTAATAGAATTACAATCAAAATTAGTTATTCCTGCATGCCAAACATAAATTCCATTATCAACTCTCACAATAAAAGCACTTTACATAAGGAGGCAAAAATTAATGAAAAGACATGCAACTGCATTGACAATTCTAAATTTCCAATGAACAACCATTGTCTTTCTAACAACAATGTTTATCAGGCCACCATTTATTCAAACAATCCGGAATACAAAGAAAAAGTGTATTTTGGACTCATAAAGTTTGGTATGCAAACCACTTAAAATCCTTTAATTCAAATAGATATAAGAATAATACAGAGTTATCTAAAGAGTTATGGAAATTAAAAGAAAAAAACTTTACACCTTTTTTCAGATGTAAGATTGTTAAGCAATCCAAACCATACAACCATCATCAAAAGTTTACAACCTCTGTTTGAACAAGAAGTTTTAAATTTTGCTGTATAAAGGAGAAAACCAACTTAACACAAGGAATAAAATAATGTCAAAGTGTAGGCACAAAAATAAATTCCTTATTTCCTCATTTGATACCGCAAATTGATCTTGGTTGGTTTACGTCATGTTATACTTTTAAAACCTCCAAAATTTTGTTTCCATGGAGTCATTAGAACTCATGCCACTGTAATTCTAATTGTAATTTTAATGTTTAATTTTTAATATACGGCTGATGATTGCTGTTAGGCAATAAACTTAAGGTTCCGTAATAAATAAATAAACATATATATATATATATATATATATATATATATATATATATATATATATATATATATATATATATATATATATATATATATATATATATATATATATATATATATATATACATATATATATATATAATATGTTTACTTCCTTTATCTCCAAAAAGATCACAGTTTTAAAATCTCTGAATTGTTTTTATTACCTTTTTTTTTCAATCTTATAACTGATTAATCCTTGATGGTGTCTCTGCACAGAACAACAAGTTAAGTGTGATACTTCTGGAGATATTGTGGAAAAGGTACTTTGTACCTTTTGCTTCATAAGCAAAATCTTATTTTGCTTAAATAAATCTTATTTATTGCAGTTTGTTTATTATTATAAGTTTTTTTTTTCTTATTTATTTAGATTTTAAGTAAGTATGATATTTCTAATCTGTTAGAAGAGTTTGATAAACATGAAATGACGCCTCTCCATATTGCAGCTAAAAAAGGAAATGAAAACATTGTGCAAGTATGTTTAAAATTATTATTATTGTTGTTAGTTTGAAATTGCATATATATACATTTATTTATTTTTTTTATTTGTTTTTTGTGTTCCAAAATCTATGCTTATTTTTTTATAGTCTCTATTGAGCTTAGGTGCCCGCATTGATGCAAAAAGTCACGAAAATCTCACTCCTCTTCATCTTGCTGCAAGATCTGGACACTCCAGGTTAGTTGTTCTAATATAAAAATGTCATTTTTTGTTTGACATGAATTTTAGAATACTTTGATATATTTTTACATATTCTTTTTTATTTATTTGTTTCAACATAGTTTTGTCCCTACTTTCAACATAGTTTTTTTCACATATTTCTGTAATTCCGGATATTTCTTTAAAATTTTGTTTTTTAATCTTTTTAATCTATTCGGAAATAGTTTTTTAAAAAAACAAGTTATACTTTGTCATCAAACTGTTAAAACAGTAAAGAAGTCATTCATAAATTATGCAACGCTATATATAATTAGGTAGGCATTATTTGTATGAGCATACAGCATAAAGTTACATAGTTTGTAACAGCCTTAAGATCTATACTTCCATATGTTTAGTATCTATTTTTGTTAAAGCTATAAAGCTTCACCAAAAAATATAATAATTGGCTGCATATACTGATTTATCTCAAAAATTTTAAAGAGAGGGGTTCATAAAAATGCAAACAAATTTCTTTTTTAAATCGAGTTCAATTAAAATAATACTTTGCAAAATAGATACCTTAAAATTGAACTATATTTAATAATATTAACTATATTATTAAATATAGTTCATTTTGACAGTATCTGTTTAATTATATAAATGGAGTAATATTTATATAAAAATGGTAAAAAATATATAATATAAAAAATGGTAAAATGAGGACTTAGTATTTATTAAATATAAAAAATAAACATTAAATCCTAATATTTTAAAATTATATTTTTAAACTACTATTATTATAACAATTTTTATTTACTAAATACAATAATTATACAATTATATACAACTATTTCTTTAATAAGTATTTATATATTGTTATATTACAATAATTTCATGAAAATCAGTAAAAAAAATGTAAAAATGTTAGAGACTAAACAAATTGTAGCTAAATGAAATTATTTTAACAAATACTTTGTTCTCTGTCTACTATTCTACTGAGAAAGCAATTATAAAAAGAGCTTAAAACTTGTCAATAGCGACACAACAGATTTTTGCAGTTGTATTTGTATTTTTCCATAATTAATTGGAAAATTAGAAACTAAGACAAAAAGAACAATATGCGGATCTAATATAACTCTGGGTAGTATCTTGAAAATATTACTCTTTGAAAAGAACAGACGCGTTTTAAGAGTTTTATGTTTTAAAAAAGTTTTGAAAATGTTACACTAAAATGGTGTATCCCCCTATAAATCAAGATAAATTATTTAACTCCTCTGTTAGATAAGCTAAAAAAATTAGTTATATACCCTAATGTTAGATATCCTGAAAAAAAAATTATTCTACTTATGGGAGACTGTAATATGGATTATCTAAGTTATAATGAATCAAATCCTATTACCAATAACCTTGACTCACTAACCTCCTTTTCTCTACACCATGCTTTTATTTTACCAACACGCATAACACATAACAGCTAAATCACAGATAGTTATTGATAATACATTTATAAATTTTCGTTCACCTGACCAAATCTGATCAATTTTGGCAAAATTTATCTGCATTCCTAGTTAAACTAATCATCCAAAAAATAATATATCTTCTGGGCGATGCTTAAAGAACTCTAACAAAACTACATTTTGTTTAAAATTTTTGAAGCGTCTTGGGATTTTTTTATTAAAAAATATGATGCAAACCATTCCATAGATTTTCTTTTAAAAACATTTGAAGAAATCTTAGACCAGCATGCTCCATACAAAAAACTAACAAAGTAACAAATTAAACTTAAAGCAAAACCATGGATCTCAAGTGGCATACTTAGATCTATTACTTATTATACTTTGATTCCAAAACAATCTACAGAACAAAGTCAACTTTAGATAAAGGGGGAAAAAAATCAATCCTGTAAAATAAATCAATCAATCAATCATCTAGGAATTAATATTGACTTTAAACTTTCAATTGCGTTCTATCTTAAAAACTTAGCAACAAAATTAAGCAAATGGAATGGAATACTGGCTAAAAACTATTTACATTAAGACAATCTGGAAACACTCTTAAACATATACCATTCCATCTTTGGCTCTCTTATACAATATGCTTGTCAAATATCCTCATCTTCAAAGTAAGTCATTAAAGATAATGTATTTTTAAAATAAATAATACAAAGTAAGTCTTCAAAGTAAGTCATTAAAGATAATGTATTTTTAAAATAAATCTAATAATACAAAAGTATTATTAGATTACACTTTTTTATGTTGTGATTATTATTATTAATATTATTATAATATATATATATATATATATATATATATATATATATATATATATATATATATATATATATATATATATATATATATATATATATATATATATATATATATATTATTGTGTATTTGTATTATTATTATTATTGTATATTATTAAATATACAAATAGCATATATTATTATCTGTGTTACTATTGTTGTTATTGCTACTTCCACTCTATTTGTAAATATCCATGAAGTGTAAAAATTATTTCAAAAATATATTGATTAATACAACTAAATTTTTTATATTTGTGGGCGTTTATTTAAGTTGTTTATCTGTTAATTTGTAAATCTGTTTATCTGGTTTGAATTGTTCAATGCAAACTAGATAAACAGATTAGTAAGTAAAAAGTTGCTAGTGAGTTAAAATTCACAGCCCATTGACAATAAGTCCTAAACTGTCCCAATATAGGAAAGATCATATTGACATTGGCTTTCTGTTCTACACATTTAAAAAGTGATATATTTTTATCAATTAAAAAATATTTGGTAGTATCATAAGCCACTTTAGGAATTTTAAATAACTTTCCTACATACACCCTATGAAAGTTATATGTCAAACTATATTGATTTTGAAATACCTAGAGTGATAGCTTTTGCAGCCCTTGGAATTGAGGTTGGCATTTGGCAATGCTAACCCAACAGCTAACCTAAAAGTGTCTGAGGTCAACAATTTTTTGCTTATCTCATTTCTATGTTTGGTGAAACCTTTGCGTTAAAAGTTTTGTGTTGACCAAAAATAGTTTTAGGTCAGCAATTTATTGCTAAATGTATTTTTTCCAATTCTGAGAGGTACTTTTGTCTCACCACATTTAATTAAAACACTAAAATGCTAAAAATGAAATAATTTGAGTTGAATACCATAATATGTACCAGAAACATAGGATTCTAGTAAAGCAATTTTTAAAAATGGATTTTTAACAGAAAATAAAAACAACTAATAATGCTTTAAAAGTATTTAAAAACTAAAACTCTTTTAATACCAGATAAAGAAAAAAATGTGTACATATATACACATTTTTGTAGGAGGACTAGACACCCCCTATGCCCTCGAGATGGCCCTGACATTAGGGGACATAAGTTCTTTACATTTGTATATAAAACACAAAACATTTAATACTTTAGTAATAAGCATTTAAGACGTTCATGTCTTTTAAAAGCAGTTCAGAGTTCAAAAAATTATTTTTAAAATTTATTATGCGAGTTGCATGTTTCTGATGCTGATAAAGAGATTTCAATTTAGTTTTATGTGGACTTATATGAATATGAATGTACAGTATAATTGTTTTAATTTGTTTTTTTTAAATACCTCTAAATTTGTATAGAATTTCAATGCAACTATTAGAAATATTATTGATGTGAGGTCTCCAACAGTTTTTCTTCAATAAAAACTCCTAAAAATTTATCAATACACATTGTGAAAATCATTTGTATATATAATGAAAAAAATGGATTGAGTATGGATCACTAGTGTCCTGTGGGACACTTGTTAGGTTAAATATTTGAAATTTTTTTAATAAGATATGTGTACATTTTGTTATACATTATTCTTTTTAATATTTTTGAAAATACTGGAAGAACAGAAATAGGTCGGTAATTTGTTATATTAGTCGGATTTCCTGTATTAAAGAAAACAATTACTTTTGCTATTTTCAGAGAGTTTGTGAAAGATCCTTGTTTAATAGATGCTATAAAGATTTTGTAAAAAATATCTTTCATTATAACATAAAAGTCACAACATTTTTGCTGCCAGATTCTACTGCTTTTTTTCTTTTAATTGATCTAAAAGCTATATTAAATTCCTCAAGTGTTTAGTTTTAAGATCATCTGTTATTTCATAATTGGTAAATGGGATTTTGTTCAATAAATTTTTGTGGAAAATAATTTGTTCAGTTCAGTTGCCATTTCATTAGTATAATTAAGTTTCTTAATTCCAACTATTATTGCAAGTGGCATAGAGTTTGAAATAACTTATTTCTTTCTTGTAGTTTCTTTCATTATTTTCCAGATGCATTTTAGTAGTTTCATTTATCTTTTTTTGCAGATTTTCAAACAGATTTATGTAGTTTTTATAATTTTGCTTATGTTTTTTCAGATTTCGTTTTTAGGTATTTATTATACAGTTTTTATTTTAGTTTTGAAGAATTTTTTAGTGCTTTAGTCATCCAAGGAGATAATATGTCATTGGTCTTGAGATTATTTCACACACTGGAAAATTAGCATCATAGATTTTGAAGAAAGTTTTAAAAAAGGTATTATAGATAATGTTATCATGAAAGTTTTTGTGATACCAATCTTGCAGTAAAATTTGATCTTTGAATGATTTTTTGTTTATGGGCGTTAAGTGTGGGTGAGAGAGTAAATTATGGGTGAATGTGGGCAAAGTATGAGAAAATGAGGAAATAATTGAGAAATGATCAGAAATACCAGTTTTTATTATTATAATAATAAAATATTTTATTGAAAATAAAATATTTTATTGAAAATAAAATATTTTATTGAAAATAAAATATTTTATTGAAAATAAAATTTATTTAATTGAAATAAAATTTGAAATTAGAACCATAACAATATACCTAATTAAAAATTTCTTGACTAGTTTTCTCAATTAGATTATTTTTAAAAATTTACTAAGGTTTTCTGTTCATTCTGTTAGAGGCCTATATCAACAGCCGATTATAATGATAGGCCTATACAAAGCATTTTAATTTTTGTTTATCAATTCAATTGTTATGATCCCTATTGGAAGCACTTATATCATTTCTAACTTTATAGCAAATGTTTTCTTTCAAATAAAAAAGTACTCCTTCACACTTATTATTGTTTCATTCTAACATTTATTTAAAGCCTGGGAGGATGTTAAAACAATTGTTGGTTTCATAAATTTAATTTTAAAAATTTTCAAAATTGTATTAAACTTATAATATTTACGCGAGTGACATTAAAATAATCACATTATCTATGCCTTAAAAGCTACTAACTTTATTTGGTTGAAAGGTTAAGTGCATATAATTTCAGCAAAATTAATTTCGTTGAAGTTATTTATGTCTGAATCAGATTATTCATCCATCTACTATTATTGTAGGGTTTTGGCTGGGGCAACAGTATCTTTTTTTTCAACAATCTTTGTTTTCTGAAATAGTCATATGCTATAAAGATAAGCAAAATGAGTAAGCTTTTGCTGATCTATATACTATATACTATAGCGTATACTTTATACTGTTCTATATACTCTATACTATAGCATATATAGTATAACGTATATATACATTATTTTAGAACATTTTATTTTTTTGTATTAATTGTATAAATTTAAATTAATGAACTAATGTCATTTGAATAAACAATTTTGGAAGTAAATGATACATTCTATATTTTACAATTTATATCCTAATTCTTTGTTTTAGAATTGTACAAATATTATTGTCAAACGTTTTGAGCATCGTTAATGATCTTGATGATTTTTCCAACACACCCCTTCATCTTGCTGCAATTGAAGGACATGTTAAAATTGTTGAGATGCTTATCGAAGCTGGTTCTGCTATTGATACTAGGTTAGATAATGTCTTCCTTATTTTAATGATTTATTGATATCAACTTGCTATATTTTAAATATTCTGCTATAGATACAAGGTTAGATCTTTCAATTTTTAATCAATTTTTTCAAAATATATTAATATGTCATATTATTTTTATTTCATTTTTGTATTTTTTCTGAAAAAAAGTAGGCTTGCCATTTCATATTTTTATGTTGAAAATAAAAACTTGACTTTAACTTGAAAATTTAACTTGGTTGTTGGCTTAAAACACTATGAAAGATATTTATATTTTTTACTGCTGGTTTAGAAAATGTCTCTGACAATATTACACTGACATTGAAATAGTGAGGGCAGGTTTACTACATTTATATATAACTTTTTATGAAAGTTAATGTAACTATTAATAAAAAGTTTAATTTTCTTTGTTACTATTTGAGTTAACAAATAAATACAATGGTTAAAATGCCTTTTCAGCCAATAAGTAATGTATACAGACCTGAAAATAAAATATATTATAGACAGATTTGAAATACAGTTTTTTTTAAGATATATATTTCATACATTGACTGATTTAATTTGTAAGCGTAGATGCATTGATTTTTATTGGGCAAGTATTACTTTTTATTGGGCAAGTATTATTAATGGTAATACTCAAATTGTAAGCAATAGCATGAGCAAATGCAACAGTTTGTTATATTTCATTAAAAAAATTCTTTTTTCTTTTTCTTAGGAATGCTAAACTTATGACACCGTTGGACTGTGCAGCCTATCATGGATGGAGCCAATGTACTCAGTGTTTATTAGATGCGGATTCCTCAGTTAATCCCTCTGATGAAGTAAAGGTACCAGCAAAAATTTATGCTAAAAAATTTGTTACACTTTTAAATAAAGTGAATATTTTTGGGTTTTTTATATTGTTTCTCTTCATTTGAGACCCAACATGACATACTTTTGGAAAACTTTTTTTTCTATAAAAATAGGGACCTGTTTAATATTTGAGAGTCAGTATCAACCCTTGAAAATATTTTACACTTAAAATTTTTAAATCTAGTGTTATTTTATTATAAAGAACACATTAAGGAGTTGCAGCAGATATTTTTTAATAATGTTGTCATTTGAATTACTTAACTTGATTACAAAATATGTGACATTTTGTAATCAAGTTAAAGTATATTTTAAGATTTTATAAATAGTTGTAACATCATAAAAAGATTTTCAAAGTTAAAAATAAATAGAAAGATTTAAACAATTACTGATTTACAACACAATAACATTAAGACTTTAGACAAAATTTCAAATTTCATTAATGCTGAGCAGGTTTTTAAGTCTTGATTAAAACACAATAAACAAAGTAATTAAAAAGTAAAGAAAATTAAATTTGGACTGGACTTTGAGAGATAAAACTCAAACAGGGAACATCTTTGTATGGCCATATATGAATGTTACATTTATCTGATTTTTTAAAATAAATTTATCGTAAAGACCTTGATTCTTTTTTGATGAACCTCTTAATTTGAGCTTCTTTCTCTTAATGAACCCCATAAATGCATGCTATATATGTCCCTGGTGCCTAACTTGAATTTTCATTAATATTTATTCTGCAGGTAAGAACATCTACATTTGTGCAAACATCATCAAATGAAATTCTATTTATTTTTATTGAGTTATGTGAGATTAGTATAAAACTGTATTTTCTTTGTGCCCAGGGTATTAAAGTAAATGGATTGTATTTCTTTTCTGAATTGAATTCTGTAGTGTGTTTCTTTAGAAACTTGGACTACAAAAATGACTGATGTTTTTTTGATGTGTTGAAAACACCAGCTATAGATTGGTTTAATGCATCAATAAGGTTGTCAACTAATAAAAGAAATTTAAATAACAAGTCCCACCAGTGTCTTCATCATCACAAGAACTTTTGTTATACAATGCCTCAAAAAAGTACCACTCTGCAATAATGTAAAAGCCTTGTTTATAGTAGCATAAATTGTTTACATTTTTTGTGTTATGATGCAGCTCCGTCAGTTAAATTGAGCATTCAAATGTTTCTAATTGTTTAATTGTTTAATAAATGTTATTAAACAATTAATCAATTAGAAGCATTTAAATGCTCAATTTAACTATATATATATATATATATATATATATATATATATATATATATATATATATATATATATATATATATATATATATATATATATATATATATATATATATATATATATATATATATATATATATTAGAGGAATTCAAATGACAACATTATTGAAAAATTTCTGCTGCAACCTGGCTTTGCTGATTTTTCATGATATAACGCAGAAACTTTGGCAGTAACAGTGGCATTGTGGTTAGAGTGCTTCCTACAGAATCGAGCGTCAGAAATTTGATGCCATGTTTGTCCACATTTGTTAGATTGGTAAAGGTATAAAGTTTCTAGTTAAATAATAGAGAGTTTATTAAAAAAGAGTGGTTGATTGGACCCGATGACCCCCACAGAATGGGCATGGTACTGCCTTCTTTTGCGTAGACGCCATATTAAAATTTTTATGGAACTACGTTTAATTTGTTCAATTTTTTTATATTTTAATAATGTTATTTTTTTTACATAAATACATACATTTATTTTAATTACATTTGATTAATATTTGATTATATTTTGAAATGCAATGCAATGGTATCTTGAGCCGAAGGAAAACTTCAAATAACTGACGGGGTGTTTGATAAGGGTAGCAAAAAATTACTTCAAATAAATGAAATTTCAAATAACTGCTGGTTCAAATAACTGATGGATGTTTGCATGAGTTTGTTGAGGAAAGTTCATGGAGAATGAAAATTGCTTCAAATAAGCGGGAAATTTGATTAAGTGGCATTTCAAACAACTGGGAGTTTAGTGTATTTTCTTTGCTGACGATAATTGGACCAAAACAAAATGTAGACTCAAATTATGTTGAAAACAAATCCATATTAATTGTGTTGATAACCCTATTGATAATTCACAAGTTATTGTGAATTTTACATTGTTCAAAAATAGAAAAAGATTTTAAATTTGTCATTGAAATACCTTTTTTAGTTGGCCTTGAATTACTTTGCATAAAGAAACTTGTAATACGATGCTAATGGAATGCTTGACATACCTTGGATTTTCTATGGTTTAGTGTTATAAAAATCAAAAATGGCTTAGGAAGTGTTGTTATTGAAAACATAACAATAAATCAATGTGCATTTGTACCTCCTAATATTCAAATAAGAATGCCATTGCACTTTACCATCTTTATATGATTTATATGATAGCTTTGCTATCTTTATATTATATCTTTTAGAAAGATATCATTTTGTACTGTCAATTGAATTTCTGCATTTTTTATGTAGTTAATAAGGAACTTAAATTACCAATATGGAGTGCTTTTAACTCTTTATTTTCCATAGATGTGCCCACATCTACAGTAACACAAGGTCAGGCAATTTATGCTAGTACACCAACTATTTGAAGCAACCAATGCATTAAAGCTTGTTTGCAGTCACAGGGAGTAAAAAGAGGATCTTTAGCTTTTTTTTTAAATGCATGTAGCTACAACAGTATAATTTTTTGACTTTTGGAACTATATATCATATTTGCTTTTTAAAAAGTTATTAGAAAGTATATTATTGAAAGTGGACTCGATCAGATAGTTATAGAAGCAGGTTATTACAGCCCCACCACCATTGGACAGATTTTAAAAGGGAAACAAATAAAAATATGGAAGCATTCATGATTTTATAACTACTTTTTAAAAAATTATACTAAAATAGTTTCTGGCATCCTTACCAAAAGACATGCTCAATTATCAATAAAGAGTATGCAAATAGATGCTAATGCTACTTTATTTCATTTCAAATGTAATAAATTAAATTTGGAAGATCTGTTTGCAGTAATAATGAATCTAAGGCTGACACTCTTTTTGTTTTACATGCCATAGATGTTGCAAAAGAAAACCCATTCAAAAAATGTATTTCGCATTCACAAGATATTAATGTTTTTCTACTGTTGGTTTACTTTTGTCAAGTCCTACCATGTGTAACTATTTTCCAAACTGATAGTGGGGATAAAGAATGTGACATCTCAATTCAAAAATGTTATGAAGCAATTGGTTCCAAACAAGCACAAACTATTATAGGTTTTTCTACTGTTTTCTAATGTTTTTTCTCGTTGTTACTGAAAAAAATTTTTTTTTCAGGTTTTCATTTGTTTACTGGTTGTGATCATATTGGTCACTTCTGGAATCACTAAAAAATCATGGTGGAGAGAATTTATAAAAGATGGTGGAACCTTAGCTGAACTATCAAATATTGATCAGTTGGAAAAAATGTTGCCAGATCTATTTGATTGATCAAAAAAAAAACTTTACCTGATCTATTTACAATAAGTAACACTGAAAATTTTATTATTAGAGTATATAAGTAAAATGCGGTAATTATGTAATGGTAGTGCGCTTGCCTTATAACCAAGAAGTTCTGAGTACAATCACTACCACATCCCTGATAGTACCACTCTCAACTTGTTTCTCCATGCAGCGGCTTTGTTTGCCAAGGGAATTATACAACTCTTGACTCCATTATGACTGATAACCTGACAGACCAATGGCTCTTCATTGCATAATAATTATAGGGTTCTTTTTAACCTTTTTTATGTTACAAGATTTTAGCAAATAAAGTTTCAATTAATAATCAATAAAAAAAACAAGAACTAGAAAAATTATGTAAGTAATATTTTAAGTTTAATCATGAAACATAAATAATAGCAACAACATATATTCATAGTTATAAAGAATAGCATCAGTAATACATTATTTTAACAATGAAATATTGATATTATCACAACATAAAAAAAAGCAGATAGAAACCTATAATTTTCATTTGATGACTTATAGAGTTGAGCATTTGTCATTGTAAAGTTGACTGTAGCAATAAATAGGTGCAAATGTTTGAAAAATGAACTTGTCTGTGCTGATATGTGGAAGTATAATAGATTTACAAAAATGATGTAGACTACCAAAAGAACAACATATATGTCTATGACAGTTTTGACATATTTTCCGAATGTTTAGAAGAGATTTGAATCTAAGCAGGGTTGTTATTTGTCAAATATGTGTGAGATATTTTCTGCAGACATGAAATGTCCCACATATTTTCTATTCAGACATAAAATTATGTCAAAATATGTTTATAGAAAACATGTTGGAAATGTCATCAAAAAACACTTCAGACAAAATTATGCCAAAGTGCGCCAATAGAAAGTGTGGGACTTTATATCAGCAGAAAATATGTTGACAGATCTGCCAGATATATTATGTCATTACAACTCTGAATCTATGTATGAAATTTTAGGATATTTGAAGCTTTTCATTAAATAAATATCATTAATTTCATTTTTATTGCAAAGTTAACAGGCTTGATATTGTCAATTTAATCTTCTTTTCAACATATGTGTCTCTTTTTTTCAATATATATGTCTTTTTTATGGTATCTTCTTTTCAACATGTGAAAAGAAGATACCATAAAAATGTAAAATGATTAGTTAATGTCAGAGATTCAATTGTATGTATTTGAGCCTAATAGTTATTCTTTCAACAGAAGCTGCTGCATTAAACAACCAAATCCAAAGATTTTCCTGTGTAAGAAACTTATTTTTAGAAGTATTTTAAAATAATTTCATTTAAATTAAACATTTACAATAAAGATATAGTTAAATTTGTATGCAAAGTCCCTTGTTTTACTTCTTGTTTTAAATCAACATTTTTCAAATGGTTTAAACTATTTAGTTTAAATCTATCAACCCTAGTTACAAAACCTGATAATGCTCAATAGGTCCTAATTCTGGGATTCTAGCTTGTGTCTAATTATTAAAATTGATTAAAAAAATTGATTACAAAAAAGTATTGATTTTGTTCCAAAAGTAAAAAATGAATATATTGCTTACTATTCTGTACTTTTTTTTTTTTTTTTTTTATAGCTTTTCTTTGCATTTTTATTCAACTTTTCTTTATATTTTTATTCAACTTTTCTTTGTATTTTTATTCAACTTTTCTTTGTATTTTTATTCAAATTTTCTTTTATTTTTCTATAACTGCTTGTGTTTATTTTGTACAAAATTTTTGTCACCAGGGGTCAAGTATAGATTATTTGACCAGGAATTAAACCAAACTCTTTTGCAACTGAAACTTTAGTTTGAAATTTAGTTTAAATTTAGTTTCTACCAAAGATATTAGTTAAAATCTTAGTTCAATGGTATTTAGTTTAAATCTTAAAATTTTTTAAATTTTTTCATGCATGTTACAACAACACCTGGGGGGCTCTTCCTCATACTTCAATAAACAAACGTTTCCAGTGATGGTTACTGGTAATTTTTGTGGGATTAATTTTTTAAGACAGAAACTCTTGGTTTTGTTTATAAAGTATTTTAAAACATTATTTTTAAAGTTGTTAAATTTAATGAGATAGTATTGTTTATTCAACACTTTACCAATATGATAAAATTTTAAAACTTTAACAAACAATAAATTATTTACAATACAATAAGGAAAATGCTTAGACATATTACTCATTTTTTTTTTAATAATTAATTTATTTGCTTTAATGAACATATTATGTAGTTATAAACTAATATTTGGATTGTTTGTAAATGGAAATTATATCGAAAGTATTATTTCATAAAATATAAGATTTTTAAAATACTAAAATATCAATTGTTTAGATTTAGGTAAAAGTGTAAAATAATAAAAAGAAGACTTTCTTTTGAATTCCTAAGTGACAATTAATTTTTCAGTTTTTTTATTAATGAACTTGTCTTCAAAATCAAACAACATTTAGATTGATGTGTTTAAATTTATGAAAAAATTTTGCTATACAACAGGGATTAATTAAAAAAAATATTAGCTTGATGATTTAAAAAAAAACACTTTTGATAACTTATGAATAAAACTTTCTAAATAACTAAACCTCTATTCTCTGAGGCATTTAGGCAACAAGAGTCTCATAATATTTAGACGTTATTGAATCACACCACACTTTTCATGGCTTTTCTCAATCTGCCAATGGAGTTGGGTTATGTTTAGAAAACTTTGCTTTTAATTTTACCCAATAGTTTTAAATGGGGTTTAAATCAGGTGAAATATTTAGCCAAAGGGCTAGAACATTAATCACATTTTATTAGAGCCATATTTTTACAATTTTTGCCTGATGGTAAGTTGCCCCACTGTGCATGAAAATATCAAACTCTCTAATTCAAAACCGTTATACACATTGTTCTTTAAAATTTCCAAGAATTAACTTACCTTCTTGTATAAAGTGTAAACCAGCAAAACTATTAGCAGTGGTTGCACCCTAAATTATAATTCCTAGACATTGCTTAACAGAAGATTGCATTTAGATGGTGGGTATTGAACTTAGTAATTACTGTTGCATTTTCAATTGCATCAGCAACACATAATATTTAGCTTAAAGTAACAAAATAATAAATACAACAAAATACCCTAATTGTACCTTATATCTTCTGTTAAGCAATGTACCCTATATTGTACCTTATATCTTCTGTTAAGCAATATACCCCAATATATTTCCACTTTATGGAATATGCAATATATTGGGGATTGAAACATGAGTTTGGTGGTCAAATTACAGTGATCAAATGTGTTTTAAAGCTTAGTGAAATTTTTCAGAGTTTTTTAATACATATACTAGCTCCTGTTTAAAGCAGATTTATTGGTTACTGCTACTGATATACTCTACTGGTACTGGTATACTTTTCTGTTTTCCTGTTGTAATTTTTCACAAAACTGGTAAACTGAAGTTTGTTTTATGTATTTTTGCTTTGCGTATTTTAATATTTCATATTAGTATTCAACCAATTGTATTAACTTAGGAACATTTATTCCCGAGGGACAGTTTATAATAAAATCTTAATAAAGAAACTTATCTTATATTAATATCTATATTATCTTATAATAATCAACAATATCTCATCAACAATACCACTATTACTTAGGCAACCAAAGCAATAAATAAGTAAAAGCAATAAATAAGTAAAAGAAATAAGTATCAAATATACAAATGAAAAATAAAAACTACTGAAAATAATTACTTAAAAGAAAAGTTTATTAAATAAAAAAAAACTATATTTAAATTATATTCAAATAGCAAAAACTTCTCACTAATTGCAATAAATTTAAACGAAACATTCAAAATCTCATCATCCAAATGAAAAAGCCACATTAGCCAATCTTGATAAATGGCTTCAAGATTAGAGTGCCCACAAAAAGCTACTAGAAGACGTTCCTCACAAAATTAAAATAATAAAATCAAGAATTGATTGAAAAATAATTCAATAAAAAAACCTGCCTTGCTCAGCAAAGACTTAGTATTAAAAGTAAAGAAAAACTTGAAAAAACCTGAAGAACATTTAACAATTATAAACACAGTATTTATTGAGCAACAGCAAATCAAAAAAAGTTTGGGACTTCACATTCCTGCCAGTAGGTCACCAAGATAATGTTAAGTATTAAGTTCCCACAGTCAAGCATGATAGCTCAGTCATGTTTTATCCGTCATGGAACAAGTCTAATCTATCAAGTTCTAGGCAATATCATCATAATATGTATAAATAAATAATCTAGGACATAATGGACAATCAAGTAATATTCAAGAAACAAAAACTTTTAACATGACAACAATCATATTAGAAACTAAGCACACATCCAAGCTTGTCACAGAATTTTTTGCTCAAAAGAAAGTTTGAGTCTTGGAATGGCCAGCGCAATCTCCAGACCTGATCCCAATAGAACATCTTAAGGAGAGAAATTGAGAGAATTATAAAATGTACTTGAGAGAAAAAAAAATTAATGTTCTAATTAATTTGATTGATTCAATGCCTTGTAGATGCAATACTGTCAATGCGGCATAAGGTTCCTAACCTAGTACAAGCATTATATACAGATAATAAATTATATGTATTTATATATATTATATAACAGAAACCATCATTAGAAAAAGCTGAAAATTATATATATATATATATATATATATATATATATATATATATATATATATATATATATATATATATATATATATATATATATATATATATATATATATATATATATATATATATATATATATATATATATATATATATATATATATATATATATACCTCTATATGTGTTTTATATAATAAAATAATATCGAGTTTGAAAAATATTTGAATAAAATTTTTTTTTCGGGGTTACTCAAAACCCTTAAACATCAGACGGGTCCTTAATATTATCAAAAAAAAGTTCTTTAAAAGTATATCATGTTGGGTATCAAAAGAAACCAAATTATATAAAAAATATAAAAATTAATTTTCATTATAAAAAATTTTCTTAAAAACTTCTATGTTCTTTGCAAATTTGTTTAAATGCTAGGTCACACCATTGCATCTGGCTTGTAAAGAAGGACATGTTGATATTGTAAATTTGTTACTATCAAGAAATGCTGATGTCACTCGAAGAGATAATCTGGGAAAAAACTGTTTAGATTATGCTATTGAAAATAATCAAAGGTGAGGGACTAAGTTTTCTTCTATTTGCATATATTGTTTATTAGCTATGTGATCTGTTGAGAGTTACTTTGGTTTGAGTGGCATCATCAACTGTAAAGGATTGAATTTATTTTATTCTAAAAAAAAATATTTTCAAAATAATATAGCTCTTAAAGTTTTTTTTTTATGCTGTCATATTTATTTATTTTTTTTTATGCGATTTTTTGATAGATTAAGTAATTGCTATCAAACCTAATTTCAGTTCAGTTATAACTTATAGTATTCAGAATTTTTTTTTGTTTTGACGGGGAAAATTTTTTTTTATATAATTTTTTTTAACAGATACTTTTTAACAGATAACAAGAACTTTGTTCTTTACAATTATATGTGTATAAAAAAAAAGAGCTTTATAAGTATTAAGCTATTTTTGACGAGATTTATATATTTTTCCAACTAAAGTCAGTGACAATTATAATTAATGAGAAAAACAATAATAAAATATAACAAAAACATTTGCTAAAAAATATAATCTTTTTTGTACTAAAAAGTAGAAAATAAACTTTATAATTTAAATTTAATAGATCAGTAAACTAAAGATTGACAGGTCTGTACAAGGTTTATATAGAAACATTTGCCACTCTTTATTTTACTGAACTATTAAATTTAAATTAAAAAGTTTATTTTTTACTTTTTAGTACAAAAAAGATTATATTATTTAGCTAATATTTTTGCTATATTTTATTTTCTACTTTTTAGTCTTTACATAGAGTTGCAATATTTAGCGATACATTTGTCAAGACATTTGTAAATAAATCGAGCTTTTTATCTTTAGTAAAGAAATGGAGTATTTCCTGATTAAAAAAGCATAATATATTTTTTTTAAAGAATAACAATTTTTTATATCAAAGTAAAATAACATAAAGTGCAAATATTTCATTTGCATTGCCACCCTCGTCCTCCCACATATGTAGTATATTTTTATAATAGTATTAAACAAAATTATGTTGTAAGTTATTTTTTGAACTTTATTAAAAAAAAAATTTTTTTTCAAAAAAAAAGATAAAAAAAAAGTACAAACCCACAAGCAATTTTAGTCGATTTAAAAAATAAAAAATGTATTAATAAAAGAGAACAAATTATACATAAAAAAATTGCAAACCCACAAGCAATATTTGCCTATATTATAAATAAAAAGATTTGTTAATGAAAAAAGATTACTTTTAAAAACAAGCAGCGAGCAATTTAGTAGCTAATCTCTATATAAAAGGTTAGTTTTTTGTGCACCAAGGACAACAAAAAAAGTTGAGGAAGAGTTCACATCAAATGAACTCTTAAAGTCTTTGTTGGTTTGACTAACACTATTGCACCTTCTAACATCGTGTACAATTCCTGTCTGCTTTCTCTATGCCATCTTTCTAACACGATTACTTCTTTCTTTCACTCAAATATACCTTCATTTTTCCCACTCTTGGTCCATAGAGCAGGTGATGACACTCCTTAAGGAACTGAACTTGTCTTTGCAGGCTTTGATAATGTGGCCTCCACAAGGCAATTAGCTGGTGGAAAACAAACCACAATACTTTCATATCAAGTGAAAAAAAAAATTATCAAAATAGAATGTTTTGATCTAATAAGAAATAATGCTCTTCCTTATTAGATGTATAATATATATATATATATATATATATATATATATATATATATATATATATATATATATATATATATATATATATATATATATAATATAGCTCTGCGTATGCCTATTGCCTATTGGTAAAATCTTTCTAACACAATTACTTCTTTCTTTCACTCAAATATACCTACGTTTTTCCCACTTTTATATATATATATAAATATATATATATATATATATACACATATATATATGTAATGTATATATATATGTAATGTATATATATATATATATATATATATATATATATATATATATATATATATATATATATATATATATATATACATATATATATATATACATATATATATATATATATATATATATATATATATATATATATATATATATATATATATATATATATATATATATATATATATATATATATATATATATATATATATATATATATATATATATATGTATATATATATATACATATATATGCAAGTATATATATGTATTCATATATATATATATATATATATATATATATATATATATATATATATATATATATATATATATATATATATATATATATATATATATATATATATATATATATATATATATAAAGTTGTTGAATTTATAAATTGAAAACTGTTTGATAATCATTAACTCTTGCTCTATGTTGTACTAAAGCAAAAAAAATAGCTCTGAATATGTCTATTGGTAAAAAGAGCACTTTATTGGACCAGGGCATTTGTCCCATTCATTAAGAACTACTTATTGAATGGAACAAAAAAAATATTGAATGGGACAAATATAAAAGACTGAAACATGATAAAAGCTCAGTAATAAGTTTCAAGTAAGTTAAGCAGTAAAGTTTGTTTCTATCACTAGGGATGCCAAAAAGGCTATGCATATGGTCCGCATGTTTTAATAGGAGTGCCATGATATATTTTTATTTTACCACATATCCACCATTGACAAGTGAAACACTGAATCCAAGCAGGTCCAACAAAATTTTTCCAGTTGCATTTGCATATTTTGCTAATATTTTGTTGTTGTTCGTTGATGGGCGCATTTTTTACAGATGACGCAATTAAAATATCTACAGTGTTTTTGGTTTCTTTTACTTCTCTGAAGTCAATTTTATTTAAATGTTTTTTTTATGTTATTTTTACCATTTTCAACATTTTTTCTCTCATTTACTGCCTTTTCTGGAGTTTTAATTAATATAGTATTTTTACCTTGTTGTTTTCTTTTTCTAGAATCTTTTCTGGGAGGTGCTTTAGGGTATGGATCAATGGTTTCCGGACTAACTATTTTGACTTATGATTCCGAAGAATCAGTTTGAATGATGATTATCTGGTTGTTGAATTTCTGACTGCTTGACTGAAAGAGGTCTGTCATTAACAAAAGTGTTAATGACAGACCTCTTTGTTAAGTGCTTTCCCCAAATATTTGTCTATTGAATGGATAGATCCCACATTTTTGAAACCCACTGCAAATATTTAAACATTGTGAATGATGTTTTAATTGCCGTGCACACTAGTTGAGGCAAATTATAAATGTTCATAATCTTTCCTGGATTGGAAGCCAACCATTCATTGAGCCATTCTAAAATAAGATTTAAAAGGTCCAAATACTGAAACATCTAATGGCTGTAATCTATGACTGCAATGTGGCGGAAATGTTAACAAAATCAAAGAATTATTTTTTTTTAAATCTTATTAATTCAAATGAAATGTGCCTTTTATGGTTGTCCAATAATAACAGCACTGGATGATCTGCAGATGGCTTAGTATGAGATACAAAGTGCTTTATTGAAAATAAAAAATTGTCACTTGTCATCCAACCACATTTGTTACACAGCCCTAAGTTTCCTATTGGTGCTCTATTTAACATAAAATCTTTGTAGTTTATTCTCTGAAATATAAATACAGGTGGAACTGTATTACTCATAGCATTCACAAAAGCTAACATCGTCACCAACGACACTCTTTCTGCTGAAACAACTTGACAAACTTGCTTAGCTCCAGGTGTTGAAATAATTTTTGGAGGGTCTGTACCTGTTAATAACCCTGTCTCATCTGCATTAAAAATACATTAAGTTTTTAACTTATGTTTTAATTGAACTTATAACAAATTAACAAAAAAAAACATGGACACAGTATGTTCATTGAAAGCAGTTGCACAAGCAAGGCTGACTTTTTCTGATTTTCGTAGAGATAACTTTTGATGACGCATCAAAAAACTGTCCATCCATTGATTTCCTACCATTTTATTTAGGTGCCATGAATCAGATAAGTTTTTTAAATTCAATGTAACACTATACTTGTAAGCTAACGGCCTAGTTTTTAGTTTAGTTAAACCATAACACATATTTGAACACATATATAAATAATCTACAAGAGCACTTTCATCAGATGCATGAAAAATTTTTCTATTTCCTATATTTGCAATGTATTTAACATTTTCTGGCACCTTTAAAAATATTGCTATTTTTACAGCTCTTCCTACTGTAGATTTTGATAAATTATACTTTTTAGCTGCATCTCGAATTGACATACCCTTAAGAACGCTTTTGACAGCATCTTCAACATCTAAAGAATTTTTTCGAATTTATTTTGTGTTTGGTTTCATCTAAAAGAATTTAAAAAGTTTAAAAAAATCAAATAAATGCGAATGTCACAGGATATTTGTATTATATGATCAAACTATGTACACATTTGTGTACATAGTTTGTGAACATTTGTGTAGTGTGTATAAATACAATTGCAAACAAAAAACTAAAAATCAAAAGTAAATCAATTCCTTTAATATATAAATGTATATAAGTATAATAAATTACTAAAGACTTTAACTTTAACTATAACTAAATATATATTTTATGGTACAAAAGAAATTCAAAGAACCACAATAGCTTGTTAAAACAGTTTGTTAAAATCTTTTTATAAGTACAACTTTGTTTAAATCTTTTTATAAGGACAATCTTTTTATTAATCAAACCTTTTAAAGTTGTTATTTAAGTGAAAATATATTGATTGATTACATTGATTTTAAACTCACATTTAAATTTTAACTTAAACATTGGCCACACTCGTTAAGAACCGCACTATCAGAACAACTAATAATGTTAAATGAAATAAAAAATATGTATGACCATAGCTAAGTTGCCAAAAATAATTTTTTGCACTTTTTTCTCAACAGTTTGTTTGAACAAGTCCCATTCAATAACCATTACTTTGTCCTATTCAATAAGCATCCCACTTTATCCACAAAAGAAGAGCCAGACTAAAAACAAAATTACCTATATGTGAATGGTTTAAAATTTCTAAAAATAGAGACAACTGTGTATTTTAAAATAGAGTTTGATTTTTCATAACTTCAGTAATTACTGCAAAATCAGAAAAGCAAAACTGTTTTTTAAAATTACTTTTTGTTCTTTAAAACACAATATCTAATGCCATTATGCTAATGAATGGATCTAATGAATGGCTGTACAGGGTGTTACCCAGCCTGATGGCACCGCATATAACGCGATATTCCCAATTGGTTTAAAATTCCTAAAGGTTTATAAGATCATAGTAAAAAAAAAAAAAAAATTAAGTCAGTCTCAGATTTAAAGTGTTGCGCTAGACTAGTAAAAATTAGTATGCATGACAAATAAATGAATTAAATTGATTGATTTTTTTGTGTAAAAATGTGTTGTCATTAACAAGCGTCATTAACCTTAAGATCATTCATTCAAAAGTTTAAAAACAACTTTTAAAATTTTTATTGGCGTCACTTATTCTTGAGTTCAGATTTTTCTCTTTTTTTTTTTAATTTTTTTTAATTGCGCTTTTCTCAAAATACGTAATTATGGCGTTTTGAAAAACGGCTGCAGTATATTAAAAACAAAGAAAAGAAGCGATTTAAATGAAAACTTACAAAGATTGCTCATAATGAAACAAGTTGATTAATTAAAATCAAACATTTATAAAGTAAAAAAATATTCTTGCTGTAAATGTAACTCCCAGCAAAAATAGAAAATTTATTTTGATTAAAATTTAATTGCAGAATGCAAGGACCTTTTTTTTTTTTTTTTCAGCCCAACCTAAATTCCCAATTTTGCAAAAACGCTGTATGAAATTTTTTCCTGGGTAACACCCTGCTGTATCTAACACTTTTATATATATATATATATATATATATATATATATATATATATATATATATATATATATATATATATATATATATATATATATATATATATATATATATTTATCAATTAAATATCTTGGAATCAAAATAGACTCTAATTTATCTTTTGCATCGCATCTTCAAGACTTAGCATTGAAATTAAGCAGATCGAATGGTATTTTAGCTAAAATTCGTCATTTTGTTAACCATGAAACTTTGCTTAATTTATATCATGCTATTTTTTACTCTCATCTCAGATATGCTTGCCAAGTTTGGGGACAATCTAAGCAGCTTGCTTTTTTAAGACTAACTTATCTCCAAAACAAAGCTCTAAAATTAATTTACTTTCAACATACTAATTCGAACTGTAGCATACTCTATTTTTTATCTAAAGTCCTTAAATTGTGTGACCTTATTCAGCTATCAAATTGTCTATTTTTTTGAACCAAAATCATAATAACTTACCTCTTACATTTATCAACTTTTTTAGTTATAGGGAAAACTGTAAATATATTCTACGATCTGCTCTCAACTTTAAATTATCTGTACCTAAATACCAAACTGTTCATTACGGCTACGAATCCATACAACATAAAAGCATACAAACCTGGAACAATCTCCCTTCCCAATTAAAATCTCTTAAATCATTCTCAAAATTTAAAACTGCTCTCTTTAACCATTTTTTAGAAAAATACTCTTTATAAATCTTTTACCTTTTTACAACTTATTATTTATAAGGCAGTGCTTCTATTCATCTTTTAATTTTTCTCATTTCTATCGTGATATATTACTAATTTTAATATCAATTATTAAATTTATTATAAACTGATATGTTTCTATAGTATTCTCTTATCACTGTTGTTGTTATTATTACTATATTTTATATCATAATTTATATCATAATGAATATTATTGTAATTGTTATTATTGTTGTTGTTATTATTTTTGTTGTTATTATTGCTATTATTATATTATTATTATTATTATTATTGCTATTATTATTATTATTATTATTATTATTATTGTTATTATTATTATTATTATTATTATTATTATTATTATTATTATTATTATTATTATTATTATTATTATAGTATATTCTTTTTATAATCGCTACTATTATTTTTTTTATCACAATAATCACTACTATTACTTTTATTATTCCTACTTGTATTATAATTATTATTACTATCTCCATCTTATTTTTATTTATTTTGACAGGTGTTTACTTTATATTAGTACAAATTACTATTTGTAAATATCCTTGATGTAACAACTTTATTCAGAATATATTTGATTTTGATTTGATTTGATATATATATATATATATATATATATATATATATATATATATATATATATATATATATATATATATATATATATATATATATATATATATATATAGTAAAAAATATCAAAAAATGTTCGAATCAAGAAAAAAAGTTAAAACATAAAAATAAATCGCTACCAATATATATATATATATATATATATATATATATATATATATATATATATATATATATATATATATATATATATATATATATATATATATATATATATATATATATATATGTATGTATGTATGTATGTATGTAAGTATGTATGTATGTATGTATGTATGTATGTATGTATGTATGTATATGTATATGTATACAGTGCTCAAAGTGAAGAAAAAATAGTAATGGGATGGTTGGTATTCGGTAAATTAAAAAAAACCATCCTGCCTAGTCTTTGTTATATATAGAGATTTATAAAAAAGGTGGTGGATTGGTTTATACTTTATAAAAAAGTGACTGGATGACATCCTGCTGCATCCCGCCCCACTTTGAGCACTGCATATATATATATATATATATATATATATATATATATATATATATATATATATATATATATATATATATATATATATATATATATATATATATATATATATATATATATATATATATATATATATATATATATATATTTTGTAACCCCATATTCCTGGGTCATAAATCAAAGAGTACAAAAGTAATGAAAAAAGTTTGTGGGTGACCCTTTTCTCAATGAAAAGGGTCACCCACAAACTAAAAGTTTGAATAAACCATATATTCATATGGATAAAATTTCAAACATTTTTATGATTTTTATGTTGTTTTTTAATTCTAATTTTTTTAATTATAGAGTTATTATGTAGTTTTAAGCATTTAACAGTTTATTGTTACATCATAACCCATCAAATTTCTTGATAACATTTGATTGCTTGTTCTGCATACTAAAATGGGAACACACACAAACAATTTAAAAATTTGAAGTCTTTAATGATGCAGTCTTTAATGATTGAAAAAATTAAAAGTAGTAGAATGTTCTTAAAAATCAAGTTTTTAATTTTATCATTGTTTGAAAAATTTTTGATTTTTATAAAGACTTGTTATTTCAACAGAGATGCTGCTATTGCAATCATTCGTTGTAATAACTGGAAACATGCCATGCGAAACTCTACCATTGAAGGAAATAAGCTAACAACTCCGATGAGAAAGTTGATTCAAAAGCTTCCAGGTTTTTTTTCCTTTTTTAATTTTTTATTAGTACTTATTTGCTTGTAATTATGTAATAAATGTAATAATATTAAAATTTGTGAGAATTACAATGTTTGATTTTTTATTCAGATGTTGCTGAAATAGCACTTAACCAATGCATGCTGGACAATGGCTTACCTCCGGAACATCTAAAGTATAAAGTTACATGCTCATATGAGTTTCTTGAAGATATGTTTTCCCCATGGTGCAGAATTGATTCAGATGGTGGAGAACAACATAATCATCACAAATTGCTTGATATTCCACATAGAACTTCCATTTTCTCAATAATTTCTCAAAAAAGTATGACAGTTTTGGATGAAAAGACAAGAAGAAAAGATTTTATACAAAATCACCCTTTAAAGTTCATGGTATAGATATTATGTATGTTTTTTATTATGTATGTTAGAATTTTTATTGCTTTGTTACTTTAAAATATATTGTATGTGATATAAAATGAAAAATTATTTTTATTAGAATATATGCATTTTTTAAATTAAACTATGCAAGTTTTCATAATTCGAGTCTACTAAAAAAAATAATTTGGGTCTTAAACCACAAGAGTAGTTTTATATAACTAATCAGCAGTTATATAAAAAATAATATTGTATTTTTAAAACTTTTTTGTTTTTGACTGCTTAATTGTTTATTGGGCTATTAAAAACTAAACTGTAATTAATCTGTATACTTTTTAGTCTAACTAAAAAAATAACTTAAAAAAAATAGCGTTTAAAAATTATAAGTATTATTTCTTTTTATTGAAATTTGAAATTAGATTTATTAATAATCTGCAAATAAAATTTCGATTCACATTTTTTCATTAAGGTTAGAATTAGTTTGAAATTTCATTTCTGCTTTTGTGATAGTTGACTAGTGTTAAAACTTTTGGCAAAGTTTTAACGTTTGCAAAGTTGAAGAACATGGTCAAAAGTTCTTTATTTTGAAGAACTTTAGAAAACTTGACCAGGTAAATTTGAGGATCAAATTTACCTGGTGACTCTGAAAAGATAGCACTTGTAAGTAGGACTTGGAAAGTAGAGCATTTGTAAGTAAGACTCTGAAAGTATAGCACTCGTATGTAAGACTCCTAAAGTATAGCACTTAATACTCTGAACAGCACCCTTGTCTAAAAAGGTTATTAAATTCACCATTAAAACTTTTTAGAACATTTATTTTGAAAGGTTAGTTAATTATTTATTTTGTTGAGAATTGAGATTAAACATTTTTAACCATTTCTAAATAAAGTCTAATGGAGATTTATGAATACAAACCCTGTTCTCAAAAATTGAGTAGAGATTTATTTATATATTTTAAAAAGACAGCCATAGCATGAATAATGAATCTTAGCTGATTGTTTTTATCTTCTGCAGATCTTCTGCAAATTCAGATAAAAGAGCAGCAAAGCTTCTCAGCTAAAAAAATTGCTCAGATCATTTGTCCATCATGGATCATGTTGTCAAAGGATTATCATGATAAAGATAAAAAAATCTGGTTACTGTTTGTCATAGTGTCCAAAACTTGATACTAAAATGACAATTTTTGGTTTTCCAGAACATATAAAATCAAACACAAATAAAATTTAAAAATTATCCCCTAAAAGATTGCTAATAAAAATGAATTATAGAAGATAAAGTGTAACAGTTTTAGAATTATGAAAGCATTTACTAAAAGGTTCCTAATAAAAATTAATTAATGGGCTTTCGTTTTAATGGGTCCATTAAATTGTTGCTTAGTTTTATCTTTGTTTCATTAACAATTAATGAATCTCGAGTTTAATCTTTCTATTCTGAAAACAATTTCTACTTTTTTTGGAAAAACTATTTTTGGAAAACTTTAAATAACAAAAACTAAAGCTTTTAATAACTTCATTATTTAAAATGGATTTTAACTAACCTTATGTCTTTTAATAACTTCATTAATTAAAATGGATTTTAATTAAACTTTTGTAATTTAATAAACCTTTTGTATTTTGATAACTTCATTAATTAAACCGATGTTAAATAAACTTTTGTAAATCAAACACGCATTTGTAATTAAATTGAGCGGGTGAAAAAAAGGAACTAAAATCATGCGCATATTTGGAGTTAGAATGAATTAGAAAATTCAAAATAAAGTCATACCTTCTATTAAAAATTTTTGATCTTCCCATTAGCAAATGCTTAAAAAAAATTTTATTTTTAACAATATATTAGTTTTAATATTATATTATACCTACATTTTTTATATGTTTAATCGAACATATTTTGCAGATAAGCAATAATGTTTATAGTTTGTTTTTTTGATAAAATATGGAGAGAGAGAATAAAAAGAAAACATCGCAAATATAATAAACAGCTACAAAACCAAACAGCTACTATACCAAATTCTATATTTACGTTTTATGATGCACAGGATTTGCCATTATTTTGCCCTATTTTTGCATAAACAATCCTTTTTTTTTTAGCAAAAACATTATTAGTTCTGATCTCAACACTTCTTCTTTCAATGATAGTACTTTAACACTTATTTCCTTGAACACTTTGAGAAGATAAAATTAGTGTAGACAGACAACCAGTTTTTATTGGAACACTTTGAGAAGATAAAATTAGTGTAGACAGACAACCAGTTTTTATCGGAACACTTTGAGAAGATAAAATTAGTGTAGACAGACAACAACAGACAAAAGATAATAAATTGAATTAAAAAGAGTTTAAAAGTTTTGAATCAACCTTTAATTTTGTTTAACTTTTAGGTAAAGATTTTGACTTGCCAAACAAACAAAATTAATACAAAATAAAATACAAAATTTTTTTTGTTGACAAAAGCTATAAAATTCCAATAGTGCAATTTGGAAGACTGCGCAAGATTTGTTAATTTTGCATGTTAATTCTATTGGAAATATAATAACATATAATTAATATATAATTAACTTTCAATACATTATTCAACTCAGCTAACACTTAATTTTATCCCTGAAAAATCAATTTAAGTCAAGATTTTATTAAAATGTATTTTTAGTGCTGTTAGAAATCAAGGTGTGTTTAATAATCCATCAAATTATTAATAAGATCACATCAGGAGTGTGATCTTATTAATAATCATTTAACTTTTTTACAGCTATGTTGATATTATTTCAGTAGTGAATACATAGTCATAGCAATTGTCTGAATATTCTAAAGGAGTAGAAAGCTAAAATCTTTCCTAATTCATCTCAACTGATGATATTTGTTTGAAGTCTCTGTTTACTGCATGGTTTATACAATTTACAAATAATTTTAAAGACATTAGAATTTCACATGAGTTGATGCTAAATGTTAATTAATTGCTCATATTAATTTTGTATTCTTAAAAGTAAATACTTGGCATTTAAAACGTATATTATGATATGTTGCATAAAAAAGATGTCCAGGTTCACTTCTTAAAAAAAAATACACTAAAAAAAGTGTTTAAATTCATTTTTTGACTCAAATATAAATTTTTCAAATCAAAAAACTCTTATTCTGATGTATAATATGTCCAAATAAAGGTATAATATGTCCAAATAAAGGTTACTTATAATTTTTCTAGCTTTTAACATGTTTTGGCTCACTGTGTAACGGTCCAAATATAAGTAGAATTTTTATACATGCCGTTAATTGTGTTATTGTAGGAGGTGCACTTTTGCATTGGCATTGGCATTAGCTTGTCACTGTGCAGGATCACACCCATAATGAATATTAAAATAAAGATGTTATCAAAATTATTGCATTGTCAAACCCAAAAGGTCTATAGCAGTATATTGAAAAAAAAACTAATTGTTTTGATGACATCATTTTTTTAAATTTATGTTTTTATTTTGTATGAAACATAAATGTCATAAATAATTTGATAACAAATTATATGAAAATATAATTTAGTAAAATATAAGTAAACATTTTGGTAATAATCTTTTTTTGTAAAAATAAAATAAATTTTTTAGTTTTATAAATTTTTTTTTTTACTTTAGGTAAAATACAAGTGTACTAAACTACTATCACATCCTTTGGTTACATATTTCCTTAGACACAAGTGGAGCAACTGTGGTAGATATGTATATTATTCAAGACTGTTTTTGTATATGATTTTTCTTTTGTTTATTACTGGCTATGGGTTGTCTTTGAAAGCTATTTTTTATGAAACAATTTCTAATGAAACAGTTTATAATGAAAAAATTTATAACGAAATAAAACATTTTTGTGTACCTGATTACAAGTCAAGCTCTGCTATTATGTTCTTTATTGATCCTGGAAGATATATTGTTATAATATTAAGCTGCATTAGTTTAGGAATAGAGGTAAGTAGATTTTGAAAATTTTTCGGTTTTTTATATTGGAGGTATGTTGGGCATAAATACTTAAAATCAAACTTTAAACAATCTTAATCTAAAGTAGCAATTAAAAAGATGTAAAAAAAATATTTCTTATATGAAATGGTTTTTTAACTGATTTTTCAAGTAAACAAGAAAATAAAAAAAACATTTAATACTTAATTTTAACTGATAAAAAATAAAAAATTCTGAAATAAAATAGTATTGATTATGGGGTAATTCAATATAGTTCATGACATAATACTATATGACTTTATATTGAATAACACTATCTATTTAAATCAGTAGATAAATTTTACATAAAAAAAAATAAAGTTTTGCAAGCATGCTGTGGTTTCAAATTTAGCCAATCCAGTTGTTTAACTAAAATAGTTTCTAATTATAAATGAAAATGAATGTTATGGTTTGTTTAATAAAATCTATAATAGATCAGTTTAAAATTTTAGTGCCATCAATGAATGCTCCCTCAAAAATTGTCCAACTGTGGCTAACAAAAAAATTAAGAAAAAGAAACTAATTAAAATGACAACTTAATTAAAAACACTTTATGAAATGGCTTAGAGACCACTTATAAAACGCTTTATAAACGCTTAGAAAGATGTTATTAAAACAAGTTTAACTATTTTGTACACATTTTTTATGTTTTTTTTTCCTTGCTTCACATCTTCCTGAAATATAATTATAAATTTGTTGTACATACATTTTTGTCCTAAAAATTCTCAGTAAATGTCATTAATACTGTGTAAAATGATAAATTTTCATTCTCTTTGCTTATTCAAATCCATTAAAAACAAGCTTCATTTTTTCTCACAAATTAAAATTATGTAAAAGGTTGTATTTAAAACTATATAAACAACTGTTTTCAAACCTATAATTAATAAAATAAGAATTATGTAAATTGCACAATAATATCTATATTTAACTAATATCTTTATCTGCATTTATATAAATGAATTTTTTTTGTGCTGTAATACAAACTAGAACTATTTAATTACTTAGATTTGTTAAAAACCAATCACTAAGTTGGTATAATTTACTCAATATCAGCCATTTTTATTTAGGATTGGTTAGATGCTTAGTTGCTTCAGCTTTGTTATATTTTTTAAAAATAGGGTTTTAAAAAAATTCTCAAACTGTTTAAGTATATTTTCGTAATAATATAATAATATCATAATATTGGTATTATTAAATGCACACTTTGATATAACAGTAAAAAAAATATTTTTATAAACTATGCCTAATTTTTATTATATATATAATAAAAATTATATATGTATATATATATATATATGTATATATATATATATACATATATACATATATGTATATATATATATATATATATATATATATATATATATATATATATATATATATATATATATATATATATATATATATATATATATATATATATATATATACATATAATATATATATATATATATATATATATATATATATATATATATATATATATATATATATATATATATATATATATATATATATATATATATATATTATATATATATATATACATACAGTAAGAAAAAAAAAAAAAAATATATATATATATATATATATATATATATATATATATATATATATATATATACATTTAATTTTCTATTTATTTAATTTTCTATTTATTTATCACAAATGATATTTTGTAAGGTGATTATTTTTTTGAATTATTTTATTTTTTAGCTTATCAAGTTTCTTAATCATCCTTATCATTACCTTCACATGCACAGAGTTTTAGAGCTGACAACATATGTTTGTTCATTGATTTATGCTACATTTTCTTTTAGTGACAAAAATCATTTGTGGTAAAAGTTTTGCATTTTTCTTTTTTTTTTTAAAAAAAACTTTTGACATATATAAACCGATTTTTTGATATTAACTAACATATAGAGCCTTATACATACATAAGTATACATTTCTGTTCCCCCCCCCCCCTCCTTTATTAATTTTTACTTGTCATCAACAAAAAAAATATTTTTCTAAATATATAAATTTTAAAAAATCTGTGTAAACCAGCCTTAAAAGTAAGAAAATATACTCTCAATAAAAGTAAGAAAATATACTCTCAGTCACTGATAAAAATAAAAACTCAGTTAAATCAGGCTTTAAAAATTGTTGAAAACAAAATTCTCAATTTATCAAAAATTAGCTTTTTCTTTTTTCTTTTTTTTTAATGCTGTAGTATATACTTATATATATTTTATATATATATATATATATATATATATATATATATATATATATATATATATATATATATATATATATATATATATATATATATATATATATATATATATATATATATATTAAATCCTATTGAAATTATGGTAAAACAGCTGTTATCAAAAGCTCTGTTAATTTGACCTCAAACCTCATAGAATTATATTGTTTTATGTGTGTTTTGTAAAATATTCATACATACCCTCTTTTAATGACACCCCTGTTTACCAGGTCTGGTCTTAAATTTCCCCATCCTTCTTTATGCTTAATTCCCCATCCCCTCTTTTTTTATGTCCACCCACCCCCATCCGACCCCCATCTTTGTATTTAGCACATAAGAATAATTTATTTTTTTAATTTACTTTCTTTTTATGAATGTTATGATTTAGGTGTTCACGTGTATATTTTGATCTTGGTGGAGCCACATTAACACTGGCATGGTTAGGCTTGGTACTTTTCTTAAGAAAATTTCCAAAACTTGGAATATATGTTGTTATGTTTACACATGTTTTAAAGACTTTTGCTCAAATATTTCCTGTTTTATTTTTATTTGTGATTGCTTTTGGTCTTGGTATGCACATGGTCATGTTCAATGTGGTAACTAAAGATTTTATATTAATTTATTTTAACTGTGTATAAAATAAAAATTATAGTGACACTGGTAAAGACCAAGTTGTACTGAAGTGTAACTGAATGTACGAGGGATGTATAGATTAGAATATAATATATAAATCATTTCTTGCTATCATTGTTGCTACAGTAATACAAGCATTAAATGGATAATTAAATAAATGATGCAAACAAGTATGTGAAGATTATAGAGGAAGAAATAAAGTTGATTTCAAACAAGTTGAAAAAGAAAAAAGCAGTAATTGCTGCCAATGTTTAGTATCAGAGCAATATTTAAAAGAAAAGAAACAAGCTTAGTTACCTATAATATATCCTTCAAAAATTCTATAAATATCTTTTGAAAGCTCAGAGTATTACTCAAATTTCTTCTTCTTTTACTTTTGGTCAAATAAAAGAATCAAGTTGTTTTGAACATACTACAAAAACAAATCAATTCAATAAATTGCAAAAAAAATGTGTTCTGAACAAGTAAATTTTCTTTTTAAAAAAAGGGTGCATATAATCTATTTGTTTACCCAATTTATAATGTATTGTTAAAAGTTATGTTTGATGATAAATAGAATATATAAAAATTTTTAATGATAAACTTGATAGCAGAGATTGATGTCTGTATTTGAATGCAGAGAGTGATGTCTGTATTTGAATGCAGAGAGTGATGTCTGTATTTGAATGCAGGGAGTGATCTCTGTATTTGAATGCAGAGAGTGATGTCTGTATTTGAGACATGTAGTGTATTGTTTAAAAATTTAGTTACATTGTTTTAACTTAAGTATTTAATAATCATACCTATTTCTAATCGATTACCTTTTACAAACTTTTTATACCTGGAGCTCATCAAGATATTTCTTTGCTGTTATAAAAGTCAAAAACTTAAACTCTTAATTAAAAACACCAAGATAAACAAATACAAATTTTTTTTTTTTTTTTTTTTTTTAACATCTTCACTTCCAACAAGGCTGCAAGCAACCACTATAAGAGTTGGAAGTTACTGGAAGAGAAAAGACTAAATCTGTAGAGCAAGATAACGATTGACTGATGACTTAAAAGATTGCAAATTATATGAATCAGGAAAGCAAGATGAAGGAAGCGAATTCCAAAGAACTGATGTTCGAGGAAAAAAACTAGAAGAATAAGAGTTTTTGAAGCACTTAGGAACAGTCACAGAAAAAGGATGAGACTTAATTGAATGGCGAGT